TCTCCTGAAGCTTTTACTGAGAGCCCCCCGCTGAGACTTTGACCTGTTGATACCAGTAAAACCTCATTATTTTGCCTGGAATGGGCAGTTTCTCTGCTCTAACTTCTGTCCCGGGAAACCGGGCAAAAATATTGTCCCCGTTCAACCTTCTTTCAACCTGGTGGCTCTCCTCTTGGCTTGAATTATTCTGCCTGAGCACTTGTGCTGCTCATTCCCTCTGCCCACCCCCCCACCGAGCGGTAGTTCCGCTCGTGAATCCTCCTCCGGGGTCCTTCCTCGGAGCACCTCTGGCTTCCCTGAACCTGGATGACTTAAAACCTCCCGCAACTCCAGTTGACTTGGAGTCTGGAGCCTTACGAGCAGTTCTTATCTAGGTCATGCCATTACCCACGTGTGCTTTATAAATTATTTAGCACGGCTTGTAATGCACACCGCATCCATCCGGCCGTCCCCCGTGCACCTGGAGGGCACGCGAGGCTGGAAGGACGAGCAGCCGCTTAGCGCCGGTGAGTCTGCAAGAACCGATGGCCTCTGCCTTTCGGGTCCGCAGCTCCTCGAGCGTCTCTCCTCGCTACGGCGACGTCTGTAGGAGCTGAGCAAAAACCCTCTGTTCAAATGAAAAAAAAAAAAAAAAAAACCAACCCAAAAACCCAGCAAGTCTGCGTGCGTGCATGTGTGAATGAGTTGTTTTGAGTCATCTTCTGGGAGCAGCTGAAAACAAACACCCCCTGCGAGTTATTAATTGGGGACTTTGTTGTTTGCCTGGAAGCTGGCTTCGGCGGAGGTTTGCTTGCTTGGAAGGATTTTTTATTTTTTTTTTCCCCACGCGTTGCTGAGCTTAATTGAACTTTCTGGTGTCTGCTCTCTGCAGGTCAGATGCAGAAGCCTTTTGAAGATGCCTCATTTGCGCTGAGGGCTGGGGAGATGAGCGGCCCAGTTTTCACAGAATCAGGGATCCACATCATCCTCCGCACAGAGTGAAGTGCCTTGGTGACGTGTTAGAAAGGAAAGGGCGAGGGGAAGAAAGGAAATACAAAACAAAAAACCAAACCAAACCCAACCCTACTCCAACCCTGCACTCTCCCAGAGGAACTTCATATCCAGTTAAAAAAGCAAAAAAAAAAAAAAAAAAAAAGAAAAAAAAAAAAAAAAAAAGCAGCTCATTTCATATCTCGATATCTTCTGTGGCACCCGACACCGTGTTTGTCACCTGCAGAGACGCATGGTTAGCCGAGGGCGAGAACGCCATCGGAATAAGACAGTAGCATCCTTCAGGAGCAGAGGGGAATGTTCAACCCGACGTTCCTGGCATGCCCCAGCTGCTTGAGTTCCATTGCCGTGTCTCCTAAAGCCGAGGATGCTAACGGTCGCCCTTCAGCGCTTCC